GACCAAACATGTAACAAAAACAAATAGTAGGGACCTCCCAAGTTAAAAAAAATAGTTATGAACCAAACACACAAATTATCCCAAACCATAATGATCATTCATGTAATTTACTCTATAAATAAAGACCCTAGCAAGGAGCTAGGGCCAAAAGAAACAATTACAACAAAATGTTCAAAATATGATTTTATAGCCATAAATTCCAAAAAATATGGAATTTATGTTTCCGATGAATAACCTAATTAAAATAAAAAACAACAATATCATCAAATAATCTATCTTATCTAGGTCTCGAATGATAAACACACATATGTTTCTAAAGTTTCAAATATTCCATTAGGTTATGCTAAAAATAACCTCTAACACTCTTTTACTAGAAGACAAGTGTATATTTTGAACTTTTATATGTATCATCTTATATTATGGATTATCAAATGAATCATCTTTTGGTCAAGTAAGTGTGACATATAGACAAAAGTTAGGTTTATTAAATGAATCAATCGGATATGTCTAATAAATAAAACTGATCCAATATAATATTTAATTGGATATATTCAATTTGATTAAATATATCCGATTAAATTGAATTGGTGTATAATATTAAACTTTTCATAGATAATTGGACTGGAAAAAATTACCTTAATAATTGATTTATCTTATCTTTGTTAAACTTTACCTTGAGTTAATGACATCAACGCACAACTTGGATTCTAAGAGACTAACACTCTAATGTCAATATAATAATTTGATAAAACCAAAAGGTAATTGAAAGCTTGAATTTCTCATTTTGCAAAATTATTGGTAAAATGAAATTAACTTATAAATTTTAAAGACGTAAAATCATATAAGAACCAAACTTTTTGAATTAGAAATATAAAAACTAAAAGGCTTTTTTTTTTTTTTTTTTTTTTTTTTTTTTTTTTTTTCCCTTAGGAGGTGTTTGTCTAAGCTTATTAATGTTTTATTTTTTGAGCTTATTTTTTCTGATTTATTTTCCAACTTAAAAGTTTATTAAGACTTACACTAAGGTCCTGTTTGTTTACCTCTTAATTGTAAAATTAAGAGGCAATGTCTTAAATTTTTAGATTTAGATTGTTTGTTTGCATATTATTTTTTACCTCTTAAAATTATAAATGCCTCTTATTTTTTCAGATATCAAACAAAGTTTGAAAAATAAAAAAGAGACACGTTCCTTATTTGCCCTAAACTAGATTGACCGCCTCCTATTCTTTTCTTCCCTTCGTGTTTGCTTCTCCGCGTCTGTTTCTCTACACCTTCCAACGATGCCGATGAAACGACGCCCGCCCACCCAAAACGTCGACGACGCTGCACCCAGCAACGCCGCCGCCACCGCCGCAAGTTCTTCTGTCTCCAACTCGTTCTTCCGCCGGCGCAACAGGTTTGTTTCTCTTCTTCTTTTAAAATCAAATCTATTACTCTTCTTCTGTTTCTTCCTTCTTTCCCCAAAACTTGAAAATCAAAAATCCAAATAAGATCTTGATATTATGCTATCTGTTTCTGATTTGTTCAATCAAAATCAATATTGATGTTATGCTTGATTTTATGTGATAGTTTATGTGAAATCGGTTTTCAAAAATCAAAATCAATATTTGCGTTCAATAGATAGTATATGTGAAATTAATTTTCAAAAAATTAAGTAATCTTTTTATCTAATTAAATTTTGATTTGAATTTGTTTGTATATTTAAAACTTCATGGATGGAATTGTCCATTGAGATCTAAAACCACAAAATCTCCTACTTTCTTGAAATAAGGGCAATTGAACATTGAAGATTTCAATTCCCGTGTGTGTTAAGAGAGTTGTTTGTGAGGTGTATTCAAACTATGTTTCATCCAACCAAACGGGCCCTTATAATCATGAGCTGTGAAATCTATTATATCTATTTCTATTAACTTTTTTTTCTTTTTATTCTATTTATGAGCTGTGAAATCTGTTATATCTATTTCATGATGTATTTGTCCCTCTTTGTGGTTATGTAGTTGAGCATAAAGCTATTGCTGACAAGTGATATGATACCAGTAATTCCAACTCCGAAGTCCTCTGCATAGGTTCTGATTCCAGCTAAAACAAAAGGAACCACCATCAATGATATGGGCTCTAATTTCAAATCTAGTTCATCGAAGATTATATCTCTGGTTCATTAATTGGGCATGTCTCTATGCCTTTTTGCGTGCTCTGTTTCCAGTTCATGAGTTACCACTCTCCTTGATACAACTTGTAAACTACTTTCAAGAATAACTATTAAGGGTTTTTCTTTCAAGAATGCGTTTATACTTGTCATGATATGTAAGAAATAACAATGTACTTTTATTGATTTCTTTATTGTAAAGTAAAACTTTCACCTCGTCCTATTAGACCATTGTATTGTATTTTGAAAAAATCTATTTAGTTAAAGCAATTTCATCCAAAACAAAGCAGCTATGATTGCTAATTGGATTAGATTTGTCAAATGTTTATGTTTGATTTTGATTTTTGTTTAATTTGGATTATATATATATATATATATATATATATATATATATATATATATATATATATATATATATATATATATATATATATATCCAAGAAGTTGGTCTAGTTATATTCTAAACAAAAACATTTTTTAGAAAAATATAATACACAAGGGTAAAATGGTCATTTTCATAATTCAGACAACAATTCAGAGGTTCCAACCAAACAGCATGATAAAAATTCAGATCTTAAAAATTCAGACCCTCTTAGAAATTCAGACCTCTTAAAAATCCAGATCCTGCCAAACAGCCCCTAAGAAAATAAGGCTATGTTTGAAGCGTCACAACTAGCTGATAAGCTAGTTTATTTTTCGAGATTTTTTTATGTTATTGTGTTTGGCAAGATAAAAAGTAGTTTATAAGATAGATTTTTGAAAAGCTACTTAGACTAGCTTTTTTAAAAAAATTTCAAATATACCCTTCGATTAATTATAAAAACATATACTCTTAAATGTCATTTTATGTAATTTTATATATTTCAGCTAGTTTTAGCAAACACTATTTTTTATCAAGTAGCTTTTCAGCTATCGGTTGATTTTTTATTTAACATTTTTAGGTTTTCAGCTAACAACCAACTTTTCAGATCATAACCTGAACCAATCCATTAAAAAATAAACTAGAAAAAATAACTCTAAAAATAAGGCACTTACCCAAACACCCCCCTTAACAAACCGAATAACCCTTAATAAGCTTATTCATGTTTTTAGTATAGCTATTGGATCTAAGGACTCCGTACGATCTTTCAAGAAGTGAATTTCAGAGAATTTGATAGATTAGAGACAGCAAAAATTGATCAATTTGATAAGGCGGAGATTTACCAAGCTTTCTCTTTTTCACGATGAATGACGATTATGAGGTACGAAAAAACCCTAGATTATACATCCTTCTCCATAATTCATCAGTAAAAGGTTTTCTGGTTTCCCTCTTATCTGTAAAACCCTAGATTTCCATTTTACTCTATCTTGTTGGTCTGTATGTATCCATGACATTCTTATTTCCGAATCGTTTAGCCGTTCTGTTTCGGCAATTATTCATGGTTCGTTAGGGTTCTTCTTCCATGAGTCATTTCATCGAAGGGTGATTATTATTAGTTTTCAGCTGAATCATAAAGAACAACCGAAATTTAATCTTTCTCACTAATAATTGTGTTCCTTAATCCTCATAATCTCAGCTTAGTTAATGAATATCAAATCTAAATCATGGGTCGATGAATCAAGATGAGGGCGTAAATATGATATATGCGACTGATTTTCCATTAGTGTTTAGTAATCTTGTTTCTCAACAACCAGATTGGATGAGGTAATTAGGTATGCATAACTTGATGAGTTATTATGTCCCATAGAAAAGATATCCCATTTCGATCATAAATTAAGATTTGTATAAACATGATGATGATCAAATTTCTTGTGATGTTTCTCTTCCTTGTTGTAAACATAAATATTGACTGCAGATTGAGCAGAAGAAGCAAAGTGCTGCTGATGTCACGTTTCAATATTCAAATTTTGTAATGGCGTGTATTGGGTTTCAAGCTCGGCCTTGTGACATGAGATTGCATTTAATGAAGGTAAGAAAAACTAAAATACTCCCTAGAAACCCTGTCTATCAGTATCAGTATCAATATTATCAGTATCAATATTATCAGTATCTGTAGTCTTTAGATGTTGATTAATGAAATACTGTTTAGGAGATATCGGGGATGCCGACTTCCCTAAAGAGGGATACATCCCAAGTAGCGGTTGCCTCTTCGGATGCAATGGGGGAAACATCGAGCTCAGGGACTGCAAGACTTGATAAAGCTGATAGTTTTCGTGCTTTATAGATCTTGATTTCTATTTGTAGATTGATTTTTTTTAATGTTTAAGACTATTTGTATAGTGGTTTTGAGAGTTTGTTATTTGAATTGATGGGTAAATTTGAATTCAAGATTGATTGACATCTACATGTTGTACTTTGTTGCTCCCTTGATCTCCTTGTTCATCTTTAGTCCTCATTTTCTTCTTTGGCCTCCGTACTTGTTTGTTGCCCTAAATTAGACCTTGCATCTAACCAAGGGCAAAAAGGTAATAATACATCATGGGTCTTTTTCAGTGATGAGGATGAAGAGGGTATTCATGGCATTTGCACGGATCAGAGAAGAAAGTAATCAAAAGAAATTCCAAACTATAATGGGAACGATATTTTTTGGTCAAAATTGTTTCTTTAAAGAAAACAAATTCAAAACTATAATGTTTTTATTATGGAATTTATGTTTTACATAGTTATTTTTAAAAAAAAAATTGAAAGTTTAAATCAAAATAAATATTCTTTTGCTGATTAAACTGAAAAATCAACAAACTACAATGTTTTTTATAAAATTTGGCGTTCTGGTTGAGAATTTTCTTTGCAAATTTTGTTGAATTTATATCTGACTCAGTTCAATGCATGCAAAAGACAGTATAAAGATGATTCTTGCACGACTATATTGTGTTTCTAAGCGAAAACGGTACTAATAGCAGGATTAATCTCTATCCCTTTTTCACTCATCATCTCTCTCACGACTTCCACATCTTCCCACCTTCCCACAGAAGCACAAATATTCGACAAAGCAACAAAATCTTCACTTTTTTCATAATTTTCAAGATTCATAACAATCTTAGCCACTTTCTCACCCATCACAATATCATTATGTACTCTACAAGAATGCATCAAACTCCTCCACAAAACCACATCATCTTCAACATTTTCACTCATAATAAACTCATACGCTTCACCTAAATGCCCAATTCTCCCAAGAAGATCAACTATACAACCATAATGATGTGGAAGAGGCAAAATATGAAACTTTTCTTTCATAATTTGAAATAAAGAAACACCTTCATTCAAAAGCCCTGATTGTGCACAAGCGAATAATAAGCTTGTGAAGGTGACTGAATTAGGTAAAATACCCGATTCTGTCATGTTAGTGAAAAGCTTCAATGCTTGTTTTCCTTTCCCATGAATAGCTAATCCAGACACCATGGATGTATAAGTGAGAACATTCTTATAAGACATTTTGTGGAATAAGGTTAAAGCTGTATCCAAACACCCACACTTTGCGTACATGTCAACAAGAGATGTTCCTATGTAAACATCGCTTTCAATGTTGGGTGTTGTTTTTATGATGTATCCATGGATTGAAACGCCTGTTTCTAAAGAACCAAGTCGTGAAACAGCTGAAAGAACACAAACAATGGTGGTGTCGTTAGGTTTTACTCCATAATCACCTCTTAACATGCAGATAAACAACAGCAATCCATCTCGGGCGTGTTGTATCTGAGAACAATAACCTGCTATTAGTGAATTCCATGTAGCGGAAGTTCTCACACGCATTTCGTCGAACACCTTCTCTGCAAACGCAAATGCGTTGTGGTTCACGTAAAAATGAATCAAAGTAGTTTGCAACTTGACGTTTGAGAGAACCCCATGTTTGATTACTCGGCAGTGTATCTGGAGCCCTTCCCATAGCGCTTTAACACGTCGAGCGCAAGCTCCGAGAACAAAAATGTAAGTGAAATCGTCGAACTTTAGCGTCGCTTTAGATACCCAATTGGCAAAAACAAGAATTGAGTCGGTTGGAGGAGCGCATCGAATCAAAACATTTAAGAGATATGGATTGGATTTATGATCGTCACTGTAAAATTGGGAAACAATGAGAGGAGCGTAATTGTTGGCATGTGGAGCTGATGATGATGACAATGATGATGCACAGTAACGTTCGACAAGTTGGGCAACAATGGAGGGTGATTGAGTTAGGCCATTGGAGATGATTTGAGAGTGAATTTGTATGATATGGTTTGTGGAAAATGATGATTTGTAGTTCTGTAATAGAGAAAGGCATCTCAGTCTCGAAAGGGTGTGCATCAGTTCTGGAATGTGGAGTTTGTTTATGTTTAGGGGATCAATATCGAGTGACTCAAAGTTTGACTGTAATCTTTCGCTTTGACTTTATTTAGGAAGTTGAAAATTTGAAATTATGAATTTAGACACCAAACTAAAATGAATTATGAAATGTCCCCAAACTATTTCAACACTTATAATTTGGGATGTGAAGTATTCGAGTTATGTCACAAATAGGTTTGTAAATTTGTGAAAAATCAACTTTTTTTAAAAAATGATTATGTTTTTTTTTTTTTTTTTTTTAAGAATGACAATAATATATCAAAATAAAAAAAATAAAAAAAATAGTCGTGGAAGAGTTGGAGTGTTGGACTAATTACAAAGATCTAGAGAACCGAATAGAAATAAAAAAATCTCAACAAACATATTTAAAACGAAGTAAAAGGAACAAACTCAAAGAAGACTACCAAAGCCATCCACCTAATAGAATAAACATCACCAAGATCATTTAATCTAAGCAAAGTCTCTAAACTCCAACCAAATGAAACGAAAATTATGACCATGAGATAAAAAGAGATCAACTCATTAGATGCTATAGCAACTTGGACCATGTGTATGATATTATATTAATCTAAGTAGCACCAGCAAGATCATTTGCATGTCAATCCAATGAATAGTATGATCATTGATGGGTCCGTGGATTTTAGGGGTTCTGTACAAAGACTACAAAATGGGCCCTAAATATATTTTTTTTACTTATGACCAAAATTCATTAATTCTATCATAATTAACTAAATCAAAATATTGAATTCACAAGTAACAATACCAATGACAATGTGGATTTTAGAAAAAAAAATAGATGATTAAAAAAAATAGAGAATTATGAATTAAAAATATTTAGAAAAAAAAAAAAGAAGAAGCAAATATGGTTTTTATAGAAAAGAAATTAATGAGCTATAAACTTTTAATTTAATGTGATTCAATTTTACGCATAGGAAAGAAAAGTAATAAAAAAAGAATCTAGTAAGCGCCAAGAACCTATTTCTTTTGTCTATGGTGGGTTTCAAGCTCCACCTCTATCGCTCTGGCCCCAACCACCATCTCCATTAGCATCTAGCACTTAGTTACTACCTCGAACTCTCTGATATCAATGCTCAACATGCCTAAGTACCGAGACATCTTTATCTTCTTAGTAGCTACGTACTTGGGGTAAAACAATGCCTTCTTCGTGAACTTGTTGGTGATCTTTGTCGTCGTCTCAGACTCTCAATCATCTATGTGAGGGTCGAATACTCCTAAGTCAGACACTCTATATCCACCAAAGGACCATACTCTTCCCTAAAGATAGCAATGAACTGCTCCTAAGTTATAGCCCCACACTCAACCATAGATAGGGGTTGCGTAACCAAACCTCACCAGTCCTTCGTTATATAGTGCATAAGGTTCACCGCGAACCTGACCTTCGCCTCCTCCAGAAAGAAACAAGTATTAAAGGCACTCTCTACCTCAGCAATCCAATGCATAGTGGTAATCATATCCTTTCCTCCCTCAAACATGGGAGGTTGGGTAGTTGTAAAGTCTCGTTATGTCACGGTCCTGGCCTCAATTGACCAACACCAACATCAATGGTGTATCGCTTATCGAACATGGTTATCAACTTAGTCTTGGTCCTGCCTAACATCTCGAGGGTAAAGTCAATAACTACTCTCAAAACCCCATCAATCACTATATTACACATGTCTGTATCAGTCGGACCCAATCCTCCTTGGTCACTCACACCTGAACCAGAAACAAAATTAGTGCTTGAACCACTCCCTCTCTGCCTAGTCATAGACATATTGCAGATATAAACAGAAATATGTAATAACAAATTCATAGAGCTAAACCAAACTATCTATAACATCCACAAATTCAATCTAAAAATTTAAGATATAATAGATAATCATAGATAAAGATGTAGTAGTCGTAATGACTATCTTGTGAATATAAGGAGCACTTAAATCCGGCTTTGTATGAAGAAGTTATGCATCTGCGAAGTTTCCCCATCAAAATGATACATCTATGCACGTCATGAAAGTGAATTGGAGTTAGGTTACTTATTATCCTAAGTAATCTAAACAAAAATAATAGCTATCAAAATAGTGAGAACGTGTATATAAAGAACGCCTAAATCTGACTTCGTATGAGGAAGTTATGATATTTTGAAGTTTCAGCGTAGCAGTGTGCGACACAGAAACTGAAATTAAAATCAGTCGATTGTTATGCAAAACAATCTAAACGAGAATCAAAGATCTCGTGAGTATGAATCCGTCGATATAAAGATAGTGTTTAACAATCTAAGTCTATTAAAAATATAACTTAAAAGTAAAATGAGAATTAGCCGACAGAGTATAAATGAAAGTTGTAGTACTCGTCGATAACTATGCATGGATATAAAGAACGTCAAAAATGACACTCGTATGACAAAGATATGAATTTATGAAAGAAAAAAAAAGCTTCCTCGCGTGCAGATAGGGTACACAACATGCTTTTTAAAACCATTTAAATTCATTCATAATCACTTTCAAGAAAACATCGTATCAACATTATCTCATTACAAATCCCAGGATCAAATCATAATAAACTCCGCAGGTGTGTGTACAGATCATGTCGGCGCCTTCCCGCGATCATCACTGGTACCTGAAATACATAACACATAACACTGTAAGCATAAAGCTTAGTGAGTTCCCCAAAATACCACTCTAACACATATATTAGCCACTCAAGGCTATAGCTCTGCTGACCCTCTGGTCAGTATGTCTCAGTGGGACCCTCTAGTCTCAACTCTCTGTAGGCTCTCTAGCCCTAACTCTATGGACCCACTGGTCCTATCTCTGGAAACTCTTAATCATGCAGATCACATATTATAATAACACACATAAATAGCATACAGATGCACTGGCACATAACTCACTAGTACACTAACACAAACTATGTTACCACTCTAGGTAAGGTATAGTGAGAGGACTCACCTCAGATGTCTCGGTAAATCTCCGACTCGGTGGAAATATGGTCTAGCCTCCGCCTAATCACATAAAGTAAAATACTCTCATAAATATAACTCTCGAGACTAGACTCAACCCTATCTTGACACAAAGACTCCATTGTTGACCAACCCTCAAAGTCAACAAGTCAATGGTCAAACTTTGACCCGACTCGCCAAGTACACTTAGGTGACTCGGCGAGTCTACACGTGTCCAATATTCCTCTAGTCCCGCATGACACATCAAGTCTTACCCCCTGCTCGATGGGTTACACCTAACATGAATCGCGGGGCCACCTCGACTCAACTCACCAAGTCCCATAATGAACTCGACGAGTTCCGCCTTGAACTCCAGTCTTCTAAATTCCTCTAACTCACTGAGTCATTCCCCAACTCGGCAAGTACCCACTGGGTGGACTCTGGGGAAAACCCTAATCCTACTCGTCGAGTCTGCTCTTGGACTCGGTGAGTTCATGACATGCACAAACTCAATTGACCTCCTGAGGTCAGATCTGTTCCTTTGATCCATAGATCTGACCTCCCCAAGCCCGATAATCACGTAAAGCTAGAATCTTGACACTCATGGGACGCTTAGGAGGTCTCACTTGGTGATTTAGCCCTAAAAATAACATCCTAAGCTCAAAACCTCCATAGCTCAACATAAAGCAAGCTGGAATAAGCTCTTTAAACCACTACGGGTCCAGATTAGAAGTCTCAATATGAATAGGGGCCATATTCCCACACTTCATTCCAATAAAGGACATAAAAACTCCACATCTATGGATCCCTCCAACAAAACATAATAAAGGGCGATATAATACCTCAAAGGTGAAGTCTTTTGTTCAAAATCCACATATGCCCAACTTCCTTGGTCTCCTCTAAGCTTGAATCACCTCCTTCTTGCAAGAATCAACCACAAAGATCAAGAAATGGCTATGTTAGAACAAAGTTCTTTTAGGATCGTATGATTCTAAGCAAGATATTAAATAAGAACGTAATAAAGAACACAAGTATGACACTGAATATGTCGAATGATTAATGAAATAACACCTCAGAAGAGCTCGATAAAAAACTTCAATCTGTAGAGGCGTTTAGGGTTACAAGAATCAACATAATAGATAACTTGTTAATATATGCATACATGCATGCATATATATATACTATAACCCTAACAACTAATCTAGATAACAATGAAACTAATCTAGATAGACACAGATGGACAGGCCCAATCCGGATACAAAATACATAGCCCAAGACGCAACACAAATAGACTCAACAATCTCCCCCTTTGCGTCCTTGGAGCAGAAACTTCATTCCTTTTTAACTGCAAAAGGCTTCTTCACTGTTTTAAACACCTTCGGTATAATGGCCAAGATATGATGTTGTAACGCCCGTAGATCCGGGCTAGTTAATTTACAGGTAATAGGGGTCGAAAATGACTTTTCTACAAAAGATTATTTAGAATAAATAATCTTAACCAAGTTGTAGAATATTTCTCAAGGTTTTCGTACATATAAAGAACACCGAAATCCGAGTTATAACAAAGAAGTTATGACCCGTTGAAGTTTCGCGACGGAACCGAAACAATACCGGGAAAAGTAAATAGTGAATTTATGATAGAGTGAGATTTAGCCTTAACGATCTAAAAAAAGTCGTAGAATGTGTTAAACTAAGAACATCGATAAAAAGAACGTCCAAATCTGACTTCGTATGAAGAAGTTATGATTTTTCGAAGTTTCGGATTAGCAGTGTACAACCCGAAATTCGAATATTTGATCGAGCAGTTTTCAGCCGACACGACCTAAACGAGAATCGAAGATCTCGTTAACAGTAGCGTAACGAGAAAAATATGGGTGAAAATTGACGGCGGATGAAGAAGTTATGAGGATTTAACGGACCAATCCTGTCCCGGTCTGTTAAAAATATACAATTTAAAATCGACTCAAAATTAGCCGACGAAGTCTAAACGAAAGTTGTAGAGTACGTTCCCACCTTCACGTGG